TGTGTGTGTGTGTGTGTGTGTGTGTGTGTGTGTGTGTGTGTGTAGGCCAGGCTGGGTGTTCAAGTCTGGGGGCTTGTCTAAAGTCAGTGAGCCCAACTGCCCTGTACTTTGCACTCATGAAGGTTCCAGGAGGAGGCTGGGTGGATGGCAATCCTCTGCTTATATCGGTGTTTGGTGTAGGACTGAGGCAGACAGATCAAGGAAAGGGACTGAGGCAGGCAGGACTGGGCCAGAACCAGGATCCCCCCAGTAATTAGGTGGGGATAGAAGGAAGGGGGGAAGAGCTGAGCAGCAGTGGCTCTGGCCTACTTCACCCTACTGTTCTCTAGGACCCCTACTCTTATCCCTGGTTCAGCTGCCTTTGCTACTGAGCCACAGAGTTGACTGCAGTTTGCTAGCCTCCTGCTCCCAGCATCCTTGTGTGACCTTGGACAGAGGCCTTCCCTCCAGGACTCAGTTTCCCACCCATCACCTGGCTGTTTCAGCTTTCCAGCAACCCAGTGCTGCTTTGCAATCACAAGACACATGCATGCCCATCGCTGTTGCTAAGCTGGGCTTCGGCAACTGGGCATGGGATGTGCACGCAGCGTGTCCAATGGTGGTGCCAGGCGGGCCAGGCCTCAGGCTTCCCAACCCTGGCTCAAGCACCCAGTCTTCCAGGCCTGAGCCAGAGGGGAGGGGAGAGGAAAGAAGGGAAGAGAAGGGAAGGGAAGGGAAGGGAAGGGAAGGGAAGGGAAGGGAAGGGAAAGAGAAGGGAGGAGAGGGGAGGGGAGAGCATGGGGGAGGGACAGAGTGGCCCATTGTGTGTGTGTGTGTATTCCTGTGTGCACACGTGGGGGGCCCACACAATGTGCCACTTGTGTGCCTGACCCATGGGGGCAGCCAGGGCTCCTCACCTCCTGGAGCTCCCCCCCGCCCCCGCAAATGGGGGCAGGCCTTCTCTTCCCACCTCAGTGACCAATCATTCCCTGTCCGGGCTAGAAGTCCAGGCAGCCCCTCAGTTCAGCAGGAAGCTCTCCCTGGTTGCCTCCCCCCACACTGCCAGGCACATGACTGGTAAGGGGGGTGCAGGCCGCCGCGCTGGGTCACCGAGCGCCTGGTTGGTGAGGGGACACCCTGGCCCCCACGCGCCCTAGGCGGGCCTCCCCACCCTCTGGACTTCGCCCCACTGCTTTGGGTGGGCCGGTGGTAGGCTGGGGGAGGGGACCGACCCCTGATGAGATGCCAGGATGCTCAGGGGTGGGGGCGCTCACCTCCGCCGTTCTTGTAGCACAGGTAAGGGAAGCGCCACACGTTGCCCAGGCCCACGGCGAAGCCCACGCACGACATGATGAAGTCCATCTGGCGCGTCCAGGTCTCTCGCGGCGGCACCGCGAGGCGGCTGCCCTGCGCCCCCAGGCCCGCGGGGCCATCGCCCTTCGCCGGGGCCCCGTCGGGCCCGGGCGCGATGAGGGGACCCTTCTTCTCGTCTCCAGACACGCTGTAGATACCGTTCTCGGCGCTCTTCTTCGCCATGGCCCCTGGGGCCGCGAGGCCGGGCAGGGGGTCGCGGCGCCTCGAGGGGGGCGGGCGGGCAAGGGG